CTCAGAAAAGCTTAATGGTGACGCTTGTTTCGAGAAGAACATTGCTCGCATGACATTTGCCTTACGTTTAAAAGTTTATTTAGTTTAATATTTCACTCTTTCTTTTCACTTATTGATCACATTGATTGACATTGAAATATGAGTAAGTTGATGGTTTTTAGTTAGTTTTTACACGTGTCGTGTCGGAGGTATGAATCAGGATAGCTTTCCCGTTTTTAATGGTTACACAGTTCAGTTTAACTCTGGAATCCTGTCACAAAGTAAGTCAGTTGTTTTAAGTCGTTTTTGGTTTTCTTAGGCTTTGTTACATTCAATTATTCTCATTGATTTCTGTTAGTGTAATTTCTGTAAGACCGCATGTAATTAGCGGTTAAATCTGTTCGTGTTTTAAAGATTATATGATGTGCTTGGGTCTCTTATTTTTGGTTAGGTTCTGTTGTTTACGAATGTTATTTATTTTGTTTCAGATCGAATAAAATTCTTGTAAAATTTATACTGTTCAGGATTGTTTAGAGTCACGTAATTTGGTTTTCATCCGACGGACCAACGCTGGTAACTTGTATTTTGACTTTTTGAGAATTTAATCTGACATTTGAAGGAAGGAAATGGGGATTTGCAAGTTCCGACTTTTATCTCTCATTGCATTGACCAGTCGAAACATCTACATACTTCAAACATATAAGCAACAACACTCTGTGGGAGTATGAACAACTAATGGTTCCAGCACACCTTCCTACTGAGAACCACTGCCTGCTGTGTTAAGCGTTCTTAATTTATGCCTTTACATTTACAATTTCGCTAGATGCACTACAGCAACATACCAAACAATTTTTGATATCATCAAAGAAGGATTTATTGGAAACAAACTTCAGTGGTCTTCTGATGAGGATAAAACTCTCTTCCAGAAAATAATTAGGATGAGTCCACACTTAAATGTTCCAAGCAAAAGAATGGTGCTGACTGGGGTGTATTCTTTTTAAAAAAACTTATTGTTGTTGAGAGGCAACCATTCCATCCTTACTCTCAATGGAGACCCTCAAGATGAAATGGTGAGCGATTAATTAAATCTTGCATCAGCTTTGCGCACTGAAAATGATATACCCAAAGTTTTCCAGAGGATGGCAGACTGCCAGCAAGCTTCTGAAAACAGAGAGTGCCCAGAAAACCAGTTGGATAAAGAAGAGGGAAATGCAGGACTTGTTTATCGCCAGCCCCTAACCTCCAAAGATGGCAACTGTTTACTTCATGCAATGCATGACTATAGTTGATTCCTTTCAAGCTAGAGTTGTAAATTTGATTCCCGGGTTGATACACGCACATGCGATAAACACCAAACCAAATAGGATCTTTTCTTTCTTTATTCTTTTTTCCTATTCCTTAGGGCGTTTTATATCGAAGCGGTCAACTGAAATTATTACGTAAAGAAATCACGTAAGTATTATGATCATAGCTTAAGAATAATCTCAATTTTGGAAATGAGCAGGTGGCAATTAAAGGAATCAAATGAAAGGTAAAAACGAGCAATAAATTTTACTTAGTGCAATGACTACGAGCTAAATAACATAATCACAAAACAAGTTATTGCTTACCAATGTTAGCGGGTCTTGATTACTTTATCAAGGATTCCAGTCTAACTTGTCTTCTGTTCAAAACGATCTTGATCACACGGAGTTTTACCTTGAACTGAAACGCTCTCTATAATTTTCTGCCTAAAGAGAACTAATCACCGGGCGTCAACCTAACCAAAAAATATTTCACAGCTTTTCTCGGAAGCGGTATCACTTAGCTTCAACGGAAGTAGTTACAATGACCAGCTACTTCGCCTCAGAAGAGCATCTCAGACTGCCACAAAAATACACTCTGACCTGGTATATTATCTCAAAAGTAATCCAGCCACCCCAGATGGAACTGTACAGGCCCGCAAATTTTATTGAAGATAGAACAGTATACCATGCTGGCATACCAATGTGTAGCTAGTTAAGGAAGAATATGTAACATTTATTGCGTTGTAAAAAAGAATCACCATCATAATTTTAAGATTTATAGTAAAGAGAATTCTACGTTTGTTTATGAAGGTGCCATTCATAGCATTGTAGTATGAAAAAAGTAACCAAAAGAAGCCAGTTGTAAGCCATAATTTAAGATGGTTTCTACAAATATAATTGTTATTCATCCCAATTCCCTATTCTCATCATTCCCATATCCATGCCATTCCTAATTTTTTAATTGGATTCATTTGTGGTCACCACCAGGGATAATTTCCAGTCCGCAATCATTTGCATTCCAATTTGGGGATCATTTGCGGACCCGTACAGGCCCTCAAACAGACGAAGTATGAGTGAAATCAATTTTTGACAGTTGCCACATTTTTCAGATTTTCTGCCATGTTTACAGATATTAACTCTTCATGTCCTCTATACTCTCTTGAGTAGTACATGCCTGAGGGTAACTTTTAATCTCATCTAGAACCTCTTGGTGCAAACCATAACGTTACTTTTAATCTCTTCCATACCCTCTTGTCTAAGTAGGTATAGCTATACCTTATAGTTATAGAGTATAGACTATTATATACAAGGAAGGTAGTAGAAACTTGAACTTAAATGTTTCAATTATTTTCCACGTGAACTACACAATTCTCAACTTAAGATATTTTCATTTACTTTTTTTGTGAACAATACCTTTAGATTTTATGCGTATTTTTATTTTCTCCACAATTACTTTACAAATAAGATTAATTCCAGTTCAATTTAGCATTGTAGACAAAATAGCATTTTTAAGTCTTACCTCAGATATTTTATTTGTTACATTTAGTATGAGTACAAGACATTTATGCATTGGATCTTTGATTCAGTAATATTTGGTACATTCCTCAACTGAACTGATCTCTAAAAATAAAAAGTAACTGGAATCAGAAAAAAACCTTCTGTTTAACTCCAGAGCAATTCAACAAGAAGACTTCTAAATAGAATGATGCACATTTCCCGAGGAGACATGCATTATACAGGTTTCACTTCCAAATTGCATCTACCTCGTGGGTAGCCCAACCTTCCCTGTACCCAACTATTAGATTACTTATGCATGTTATCCTAGCTCTTGATGTTGCTCCATGGGCTTTTCCTTAGGAAACAAAGACCGCTTGTCCGGGATCAGTGTCCCCTTGTTTTTTGTGCACTGCTACTGGAACATTGTAAATTTAATAAGGCTATGAACTCTGTAAGAGTCTCTGTAGAATGGCTTTTCAGAGATATAGTTGAGTATTTCAAGTTTGTAGATTTCAAAAAGAACCTCAAGATAGGACTTACTTCAATACAAAAGATGTGCATTGTTTGTGCCTTATTAAGAATTGCATTAACATGCTTCTATGGCAACACAACCTCCGAGTTTTTTGAGCTGGATACACCCACCTTGGAAGAGTACTTTGCTTAATTCTAGGGAGGATAAGGACTTGCCACACTCTAAAGAATATTATAACTATATATAAAAAAAAATAACTATATATTTTCCAAATACTTTTGGTTTGAATTTTAAAATGACCTCCTCTCCAAAAAAGGTTAAAATCTTGCTGTTGCCACAAAAAAAGAACAAATATGCAACCAAAGCTATTATGAAAATTGAATATTTCAAACCTAATGAATGGTTTGCTCCTCCCTATGCCTCTTACATCAGGGGGGCTTGTGACCCTGTATGTTTTATAAGCCGTGCCCAATATCCAGATGCAAAATTATTTTAAGTAATCCTCATCTATTAGTCATTACCATGTCAAGAATAAAAGTAATTGGCCATTTCAGTTTTTGCTATAAATTTTCCATCTACACATGCCATGACTCAGTTTGTATTTTTCTTAAGAGAGACTGTCACTTAAGAAAGAAGGATCATCATAGAGATCACTAGTGTAACTATATACCAGCACTAACAACCATAGAAGAGTGGCACACCCAACCTCAATATATTCCATCAATACGGCATGTCATCCATGTGGGACCACCTCGCACAATAAGGGAATACTTTCAAGAAACAGGACAGGCAGGACAGGATGGATGTTTTTCGCTCGCTCCAGGGGGCAGGAAGATGAGAGACCCTGAGAACGAGGTTGTGGCACACCAGGGCATATTGCCATGGTTCTTCCAAATGCTTACTTTTGAATATGAACTCTGTAATTATCTCAACCCAATAAAGAACAAAAAACAATGGTGCTTTGTTCTGAGCATGATAAAGGTATAGCTTGTGGTTCAATTTTATCCTTGGCTCAACATTGTGTGTCGTAACATATGAAAATGAATGTAAAACAAAGAAAAAGACAAATTGAAACAAGGATAAAATTGAACAGCAACAAATACATAGTATATCAACTTAAACTAAACTTAACATGTTTTTATTCTATTTACTTCTTCTGGTGGTATTTACTTCAAGACTACCTTGCCATATAGTAATGCGAATTAAACTTCATTTTCCTAACTGTTACAAAATGGTGTAGCCCCCAGTGCTGATGACATAACCCATCGTGAAACCCAGCATTTTCGCAGAACCGAGCAGGGAGTTTTCATAACTGATTCCGTAATTGTGAAGAAGAGCTCCCCAAAAAACCTGTCGGCCGACTGTCAGCCAACTGTCGGTCAACTGTCAGACAGGTTACCGACAGCTAACCAACTGGTTACCAGCAGGTTAAGAAAAAAGAAAAATTGTGTTAAAAACGAACAGTTAACGTGACATAACAATCTGTAATGATGATGTATGACTCGACAGACTTCACCTACTTACCAATCGACGGCAAAGTTGAAAGTCAGATGTCTTGTGTATTAGCCAATCAACTTATTGTAATTGTTTACTTTATCCAAACAACAGTAATCAAATTGGGCCAATCAGATGTGTTGTTTATTAGCCAATAAGGTTATTGTTATTGTGTACTTGATCCAATGATAGCGTATGAAAAGCCTTTAGTTAAAAAAGTTATTATCATTACGACGTAATAGTTCACAAACAACACGTCTCAGAGAATCTTAAAGTGCACAGTGTGTGGCGGTGACCATTCTATTTTTCGCTGTGAGAATAGGTGTGGCCACAGCGACAGTAGGCAATGTTCATGTAATGAAGGCCCGCCTCAGAAAAGAAAAAAGACATCAAAGTCAACAGCCTCCAGTCAACAGCCTGCAGATACGTCACACGACGATCTAAAGAAAAAGTACGAGTTACTGCAAAAGGACTACAAAAGAGTGGGTCAGGCCTTCCAGAACCAGCAGGAACAGAAACAGGAGCTGACAGCGTTGCTAGAGGAATGCGAGAAAGAGGCTGAAGAGCTAGCCAACCTTGTGTGGAACAAAGATGAGGTCATTAAAAACCTCGAGAGGCGCCTCTCGAGCAGAGGTCCGACGCAGAGACCAACCTGCGCCACAAGAAGACCCACCCGCATCACAACAGCAACACCAGCAGACGGCAGACATTCACACCAGCACCCAGAGCCTGGCCAACATACAAGAACAATATGACCAGGTTCTCCAGACGATGAAAGAGAACAGATGCAGCATGGCCTGTGCCTTCCGTCTTGCAGGCTGTCCTCGGAGCACACTACGAGACTTCATGGCGATAGCAGAACTGAAAAAGGTCGACTCAAGGGAACTGGACCTCGTCCTCCACGATCAAGAAGTTAAATCGGTGCAAGATCTGGAGGTTGTCTGTTGCAAAAGACTTCGGTGCTACATCCCAGTCATGATCAACATGAGGAGAGAGGGGCAGCTGTTGCCAATGAAGTTCGAGGCACGATTCTACGAGTGAAGTATCTTGTATATTTCACCACTCACAAAATAGCTCCTTTAGGAGCCACCAAATCTATGAAAGGCTATTCTTGTCAATGTATTACACATGTTGGATGTTGTATCAAGCAAAAACTGAAAGAAAACATTAAGGTTTGTGTTAACGTTTTACCGACAAGCTACCAACAGGTTACCAACAGGTTACCGACACATTACCGACAGTCGACCGACAGTCAGCCGACAGGGTTTTTTGGGAGCTCTTCCTCACAATTACCACTGATTCAATCCTTTCTCCAAAATCTTCTACCTTGGACTAGCTTGTATTAATTTCAATAGAATTGAAACCATCAACCATCATACTCATGTTCAGTGATAATCTCTTTCGATATTCCACCACTCAGACTGATTTATGCATCAGTGACACTGACTCGTATGGTAGCGTGTGTATTACTTTGTACTGTCTAAGAACACCCCTCAATACGGCTCAGAGTTTCAGAGTTTCCACTATAACTTTGTTCTTTTTTAATTATAGGAAGCCCTTCGTAGCTTCCATGGAATGATCACTAAAAGACAGTTCTAAGAGTTAGCAAATCACTTAACTAACAATTTAATTTAAAATGTGTGGTAAAATATTGCTGTATTTAAATACTCTTGCATTTCTGGGTATCTTGCAACTCAGTCTCATCATAAAAAAGAAGTATGACTGAAAATGCATTTCAAAGTCAGTTGTTGTATTTGCGAACGGTAACACGTGCATCTGCTTTTAGAACCCAGATCACATGCTTCATTGGCATGTACACTACGGAACGTCATGTATTGTTTACTTGTGTGCCACCTAATGCTTGGCCAGGAACCTTCTGTCCATTGCAGTTAGTATTTATAAAAGTTAAAGGTTCACCTGATAATAAATATTTTACCTTGGCGCAAGTTTCAATTAAGAAAACACAATAAATCTTGGAACACAATCATTTGCAATCTCATCATGGGGACTGGAGTGTTTGATTGCTTGGCTGAGCTTTCCAGAGTTACGGGTTCCAATCTCAACCCCAAAAAGGCACTGGTATGTGCTAACAAAAGCTTTATGTGAAATCAAGCCAAATGCTTTTGCAGAGTGAAATATTTGGTTGATTCCCCGATCAAGTACGCTCTATTCCGCAAGCAGGTCTCAAGCCCACCAAAAATGCTGTTCACTCAACACCAGACAATCAGGCAAATTGTATCTGGTATCTTTGTTTGGTCTCTGTGCCATATTACTTAGACGAGAGAATTTCAAGCAAATGAATTTGTGAGATCTAAAAATATTATTCCTATTGTTGATGCCATTAATGAAGAAAATGAAAAACTGTGAAATACCAAAAAGTTTAGGCAGAAAATGCCCTTTGAAAGAAATGTCAAAATATCAGTGTGGAATAGCAGAGCTTGATTATGAGATTCCGGAACTTGAAGGGAATGAAAATTATTTAAATTCATTTGTGCCTTGGTACCCTCCATTACCAGCCTCATCTTCCTCTTCTTCTTTAAATAATGAGTTCTATAAGGACACAAGAAACATCAGCGGTTCCAGCAGCCCATGCAGCACAAGCAGCCCATGCAGCACAAGCAGCCCCTGCAGCCCCTGCAGCCCCTGCAGCCCTTGCAGCACCAGCAGCTTCTTACAACCCACTTATCAACCGCCCTTAAAGAGTATGTGTGTGCCTAATTGGGTCTTGCTCTACTTTAAATTGCAAGCAAAATTACCAGATGCTGCAAGGCAAACTCTTCTTAAACTCACTCAGCTTGGAAGATGTGGGATAAAAGACCTTTTATGACCTGCTTAACTTTATAACCTCAGGGTATTATCTTTAGAGTTATTACTTTCTAACACTGCCTGAGAAAAGGAATGCAAGTGCATTCTAAGAAGTGTTTACATCAAAGTTCCAGATTTGTGTTAATTAACCACTGGCTGACTTGCCATCTATGACTTCTGATGACTTGTAAAAGAGCTCACAGCAGCCAGTTTTCTTGTTAAAATCAAGTGATCGACCCAAGAGAGAGTGTAAGGATTTGAAGAAACACCAAGCTAAAAGGAAAAGTCTAAGTAAGTGCTATTTCAGGAGGAAATGGAAATGCAAGTACTTCCAAATGTCTAAGGATACTACTGCAGATTGCCTGAGTTACCAATTATGGTGAATGATTTTCATTCCCATTCACAGTTCTTTGCATTTCCAACTTGGGCGATCAATTTTGATCCAGTTCCTCTGACCAATAACCTGCCAACCATAGGCCACAAGGCTTTTGCATCCCTTAGCAATGATCCCATGGAGGTGTTCGACCCAATGCCTTCAACCCCACCAGTGCCTACAACTCCGCAAACACCAAAACTCCAGTCATCAAGCTCCGAGGACCACAAAGTCAGTGAAGATGTCATCCAATCATTGGTAATTCCAAGAAAATCCAAAGGGGTGGGAGACGTCTTGTAAAAGGGAAAAAGAGAGGCACCACTGCACTCTTAAACTTCTGCCTTCTCCTTTATCTTGGAAGAGCTGAGCAACAACACACAACAACGGCACCCACAACAAACAGAGGCTAAATGTGACAAAACTTTAAGCATTGAAGGTGCTAGTGTTTAGCCATTTTCCCATTGAGTCTGCCACGGAAAAGGAAAAAGTGTGGAAGTCCATTAAAACCAAAATTAACTCCAAGCGTTGTCTAGGCAAACATGTAAATAAGCTTGCTCATTCATCAGAGTGTAAATAAAGCTGAATTGGAAATATCTTGTCCGTTCAACCAAGATGGTTTAACATTAATTTTTAGTGCTCCATTTCTCGATTTTGGTCAACTGTTTCTTGGTTTAGCCGATCAGTTTTTGGCCCTTGTAATTTTATCAAACTTTAATTAGCGTCCAAAAGGGATATTAGATCTTAAAGATCTGAAATTGCAGACCCAAACACCAACAACTGAGTTGTCTTTGGTCGTAATACCAGAGGATTGGAGGCACTAATGGCCAGCTTTCTAACCGGCTGAGTTTGATATATTTTAGTGAGAAAATTGTGTCTACTTAATAGAGCCTTAATTCCCTCACAAACGAGCAGATGTATAAACTATTTTTATATTTTGACGTGGGAAGAATCAATGTAATCAGTTATACTCAAGAAGGATTCACAGCTATGCAAACATCTGTGCAGCAAGAAGCTGAAAAGTGTAAAATTTCGAGTTGTTGCAAAAATCCGAACTTTCGGTAGGATGGCTTTCCTTCGTGGCTTTCTCCAGTTAAATGGGATATAGTTTTCAAAAGACTAACCTCATTTCCTTCAGGCCCTCAAACAGACGAAGTATGAGTGAAATCAATTTTTGACAGTTGCCACATTTTTCGGATTTTCAGCGATGTTTACAGACATTCACTCTTAATCTCTTCTATACCCTCTTGGGTAGTATATGCCTGAGGGTAACTTTTAATCTCTCCTATCACCTCTTAGGTAGTGTATACCTGAGGGTTACTTTTAATCTCTTCCATACCCTCTTGCCTGAGGTAGGTATAGCTATACCTTATAGTTATAGAGTACAGATTATTATATACAAAGAAGGTAGTAGTAGCTTGAAATTAAATGTTCCAATTATTTTCCACATGTGAACTACACAACTCTCAAATTAAGATATTTTTTTTACTTTTTTTTTTAATAATACCTTTAAAATTTATGCTTTTTTCGGTTTTCTCTAAGGTTCCTTTACAGATACGATGAATTCCAGTTCAATTTAGCATTGTAGACAAAAAGGTCGCACCTCAGATGTTTCATTTGTTAGATTTAGTATGAGAACAAGACATATACGCTTTGGATCTTTAATTCAGTAATATGCAGTACATTCTTCAACTGAACTGACCTCTAAAAATAAAAAGTAACTGGAATCAGAAAAACGTTCTGTTTAATTCCAGAGTTTTCCAACATGAAGACTTTCAAATAGACTGATGCACACTTTTCCTAGGAGACTTGCATTATATAGGTTTCGCTGCCAAATTGCATTTACCTCGTGGGTAGCCTAACCTTCCCTGTACCCAACTATTAGATTACTTATGCATGTTATCCCAGCTATTGGTGTTGATCCGTGGGCTATTCTTTTGGCAACAAGGAGAGCTTGTCTAACATCAATGTCCCCTTGTTTTTCGTGCACTGCAACTGGTACGTGTCCATTCCATGATACTCTCTCTTTTAAAGTGACAATGTTTTGTTTGGCCTAAGCATATTTAATTTTGCCTAGGTCAAAAAAAAAACGGTATGCCACCTTCCTTGTGGAGGAGCATAAAACAGGCGCTTGCCAGTGGTACTGGCTCCTAAATTAATGGGGTCGTGTATTTTTGAGACCTTTGAGGAACAGTTGAAAATACTTTGTAAGAACCATGCTGTATTCTAAAGTCTGCCAGTTTCCCGTTAAAGGATATGGACCTGATCGAGCATATTTCGGTACACCAACTGACAGTTTTAATCTCTGAGCTTTGAGACTTTGCCAGTGTAGTGTTCCCCTGAACAATACAATGTACAATATATTGAGTATACAAAATATTTTTATGACGTTCCTTAGTCTAGCATTATCTGCATTAACATCATGACCTGGGAGGGGTGTTAAAGCAGACAATGAACTTCTTAAGGAATTTACGTTTAGTTGTCACAAACAGGAAACTGCAACAGTGCACTCTTTATTAAAAGTTAATTGAGTAGTTTAATTTAGTTGCCGACAATGATACTGAAATGGTCAGAGTTTTTAACACTTACCTGTTTTTAAGTTTGGACTGGATTTCTCAGTTACCTGATAGAGTTTAAAGTGTTTGTTTGTTGGCCTGTTTTAGGAACCAAGTGAGCTTGCTTACATCCATTCTTGATTCTCAAGCGCATTTATTTTGCTTTTCTAGTGTATTAGATTGCATTTAGTAAGTAGAATCTTACATATTAATTTGATTTCAGATCAAATACAATTGATATAATACAATTGTGAGTTGTTCTTCGGTTTGGATTCTTTATTTTCTATTGGAGGGGTACTGCGAAAAACCCATCTTGTCATTGGCAACATAAATTTTAGTAGTATCATTGACATCTAGGCATATGTCATATTAAACAGGTTATGATTGCAGAGCACACTTTCTCCACTGATTCATTAAGTTTATCCAGTGGACATCACCACCTCCCTTTAATTTGCCTGAATGCCATCTCTATAACTACCATTGCACTGCTCAGTGATTCATTAACCTCTCTTTAACTGTCAGCTAAAGCTTTGGTCTAAGGAAAAAGTTTCACGCACCAGGTAGTCAGTTTACAAGCCGGATCAGCGACAATAAGTGGCTTTCCTTCCATGCCACCCATCTGAAGCGGGGAAGGCAAAATATTGACATTTTCTATTCCAATGGGAAATAAGCTCATTCATAGCATGCAAGCAGTGAGAATACTTCCAGCTGAGCCAGCACTCACTTGTAGAGACTTACCATTAACAGACAAAGTTTGCTACATTGTGTGAAAATGAAATCTAGCAGAAGCTCTCTCCAGAGAAACTCAGCCCAATGAAATTAAAGATTGGATGTTGACTCCATCCTTCTAAGGTTGCTTAAATCTGAATGACCCGAGTTTTAAAAGGAAATCAAAGATTACATCAAAAGCATAGAGACCCTGAAAGATTTCAAGATTGCAAAGAAAGCAACAACTTCAAATGAGAGATGACGAGGCAAGGAAGTTTCATGTAAATGCAGTTTCCCAGGAAGAAGCAAGCCATAAACCTACTTTCTCCAACCTGCGCGAACATCTTTCAGCATTCACTAAAATCCAAAAGGTTCTTGCCCTTGATTATTGCTTTATTTAAGAGATGTACCCAGAGGACCACCAGAAGCAACTTATCACTTGTAATACACCTTGATGTATTCTTTTAGCAACTCTGTTTTCCCTAAGGCCTGGAAGAAGTCGGAAGTAGTGCCACATCTTAAAGATGGTGATCATGAGATTCCTAGTAACAATCGCCCTATTTCATTATTGCCTGTACTTTCTAAAGTGACCGAAAAGATCGCCCTGAATCAGTTCACTGATTATTTGACTCAACAAGGCAACCTCACCTGTTATCAAAGCAGAAACCATAAACACCATTCTACTGAAACACTGAGTTTGCTTGTCACCGGTCATATATATAATGCAATGGATAAAAAGGAGATCACGGCTATGGTCCTAATCGACTTGAGCAAGGCTTTTGACAGCATATGTCATAGAACTCTCCTCACCCAGCTGAAAGGGCTCATAGCGTCAAATGAAGCGTCAAAGTGGTTTGAGAGCTATCTTACAAACCGAATGCAGTCAACACAACTCTGTACATCTTGCTCTAGTGAGTTAACTGTCACACATGGCATACCACAGGGGTCCATTCTAGGGCCTCTTATGTTCAGCCTTTACATGAACAACCTACCATCCGTTGTTAAGTTTTCAAGCGTAGAGTCGTATGGTGATGACACAAAGGTTTATCTTTCATGTTCATCGAATAATATCGACTCCTGCCTTGCAAAAGTCTCGGAAGATCTCCGACTTATTGCCTCCTGGTGCTGTATGAATAAGTTGCTTATTAATCCAGACAAAACTAAACTTCCAAGACAAAACTAAACTTATTCTTTTTGGAACGAAACAGCTTTTAAGTGGGGTTCCTGATATCAGAGTCCCCTTTCTTGGGCAACACTTAATTCCTGTGTCCTCAGTCAAAGACCTGGGTATAATATTGGACTCGAACCTTACTTTTAATGAACACGTTAACACCCTGACCTCGTCTCTTATTTCTACCCTATGCCAGATAAGCAGAGCTAGACACTTGTTTTCCAAATCTGTACTTACCACCATTCTGAATTGTCTAGTTTTTTGTAAACTCTTTTATTGCTCAACAGTTTGGTCTGGAACATTTGCACACAACATAAACAAATTGCAACTTGTACAAAACTTTACTGCCCATGTGTTGACAGGCAGCAAGAAGTTTGATCACATCTTACCAGTGCTGCAGGCACTGTGTTGGCCTTCTATTAAGAACCAGTTATTAGTGCGTGATGTTACGATGCTATACAAAGTAGTCAATGGCCTTGCACCACCATATTTAGAGTGTTACGTCAACAAAAGATCAGCTATCCGCAGCTAAAATACTAGATCTAGAGACAACTTAGTTGCACCCTTTTGTAGGACAGCCACAGCACAGAGGTCTTTTAGTTATAGAGCAATCACTGCCTGGAATTCTCTTATACGTGAAGAAACGAAAAATAGCGCAACACTCTCAGTTTTCAAGCGTGCAGTAAAGCGCGAAATATATGACAGTCCGTAGGAATCTTTTTTAGGTAAAGAATTTTAAGAATATGTTAGTTATTTATTTGTATTTGGTTCTTTATCCTGATATTATTGTAACTTTTATAGGTAGTTTTATTCGATTTCCAATTATTGTAAATCAAATTGGAAGAGCCACTGGGTGGAGATTTAATAAACTTACTTACTTACTTTCTTGATAGTCTAAGAGCCTACAGTGGGTATCAGCTCAGCTGATACCCACTGTATACAAAAGCATCACTGCATCTGTAAGAGTAATCCACCACAA